AATAAAATTTATTATTATTATTATTATAAATTCTGAAAAAACAAAACGTCAACAAAAAGCAACATTAACTGTGCACTGTGCCTGCCAACTAGTTGTCCAAAAATAATTGTAGCACTTTTTTTTTTATTAAAGAGCAACATCCAGGTTGTAATTTTATGTGTAAATTTATGTGTAAATGATCATTTCAAACGTTTGTGCTTTTAAAGGTCAAAAAGTAGGTGTTTTTCAGGTAGTGATACATTATTTTATCTAGCATTAGCTCTAAATGTGTTCTATATCAATCAGATATTTCCACTTACATGAAGAAGGACGGCAAAATATTATAATGAGTATGAGTCACTGGCTATGACTGTAACATTGATATATAAAATAGGTCAAAACATATATGCCGATATTATTTAATGTGACAGTTTTTTTGCCTTCTGATATAAAGTTTTGACATTCCTAGGTCAGACTGCCCGCATAATGCACATATTCCCTGATCAAGGACAGAATTTCTGAGTTTTGGATCCTCCACTTGTTAACATATTTAGACACACTTTTGCCTGATATAACACAGTCAGTGATATGACTGAATGATGCTTTTAGAGGTCAGATCAAAGGTCCGAAGCAGCACATGGTGTGAAGTATGGAGTCTGAAGTGCATCATATAGTCTCTTAAGCGTCAGCCCTCATGACAGACATAATTGTTAAAGTGTTGTGTCCCGCTTGCCAAGTGGGTGCATGAGGAGTTGTGACCAGAAGGAACAAACAATTTCTTTGACAACGATCTCAATTTAATGGTTTCAGTTTTAACTATTAGATGATGTTGTATTCTGCTTGAAAAAACCCAAGTCAGAATAAGGATTTAATGTAACCACTTTAATGAAGTATTCTCTCTTAAATCTTGTCCTTGAATAAAAGCTCTTGAATTTGCATTTATAAACACTGGTGACAGCACCAAATAAAACCACAGCTAGGTTGGATGTCTTTGTTTTTGTGAGTGTGCAGGTGGTCTGGCAGTTAGACATAATGCGTGGGAACTCATTGTCCTCTGTCTTGTGAGTTGATCAGAAACTATGTTCATAAAGCTTTTAAATAAAAGTGTTTGCACCCCGTCCTGATGGGGTGTTACTGCCACCTGATGAGTCCAAATGTATAAGAAATGAATGTGACCATGTTAACTACAATGGTGAATGTGGTAAACATGCCAGCTAAACATCAGCATGGATTGTCAGTGTGAGCATGTTGGCATGCTGACGTAGATGCCCCTGTGCCTAGCCGCTAACTTGGCTGCAAACTCTTACACTTGTCAACACATCTTCAGTAGTGTTCTTTTGTGTTGTCCATAACTTTACTGATTATATGTGAATTAAATAAGGAAAGATCTTATTGAACAAATTTTAATATCTGGCAACAAACTCAAAAACGGAAACATTTTACATCCACCCTGTGATTGTATATTTTCTAAGTGAAACGATATAGTACATATCACTTATTTGTAATAAATGACTTCAGACATAAAGATACTATTAATCTGTTGTTCATACAAACATTCTTAAACTCACAACAAATGTACTAATTAGAAGTCACTGAGTAATGACACCAAAAGACAGTTTGCTCACAAATGCTACTACAGCAATGATGGCTACTTAAAAAAGTGCAAAGATTCATATACTGTAGTCATCATCACAGTGCAGTACATTTCAGAAAATAGCCTGTTTTAAAACAGGTTGAAGAAGGTTACTGGGTCCTCATCTTCCTCCAGCTGGGCATCCTTACAGAAAAAGGGAGGGTTAAGTTGTCCAGGGTCCACTAGTCCGATGACGTTGTTGAAGAAGCTAAAGGTGAAAAACAGAAAGAACCCACAATGAAACCCTCCAGACAGAAACTGTGGGTACTGCTGTAATCTGTTTAGTGTGAGGAGAGAACCAGAGCTCAAGCTTTGGTAGTCTTTTCCTCCTGGTTTTTTGTCTCTCCAGGATTTTGCAGGCTTTTTGGGGGGGATTGTTGGCCTAAAATTACTAAAATTACTAAAATTCCAATGCATGTTGTGATGTTTTTTAAGCATTTTCCTTGCAAATAAATCATGGAAGAAAGTGAAAATTGCAAAGAATATTTACAATTTCTTTTTTGCATTTTGAATTATAAAAAAATTGAGGGCAACTTTTTCCAGTGAGAATAAAACTGCTAGTAATTTGGTGACATATGGCTCAATATTTTGTGTGACTATGATTGGTTAAACTCATGGGAAAGATTCAATTGCTGAAAAGTTACAGTGACTGGACAAAACTGCAAGGTTGCGCAGAATTCACAGGGATTTATTGTAATCCCATTAATTGTTCAATTGCAACATTGCAACTGTTGAGGGTCTGAGGGTCTGAGTTGTACTGAATTTAAAATGACAACTACCCAAACATTAAAGGAAAAGTTAACCCTACAACCGTAATTCAACAGTAAAAAAATGCTTTTAAAAATGCAACTTTTGTTCATATTTACATTAAAGGAATAGTTGCTTTCTTGCTGAGAGTTAAATGAGAAGATCAACACTGCTGTCGTGTTTGTATGGTACATATAAAGCATAGTCCAGCAGAGATGTGCTGGTAGGCAAAGCCAGCCTAGCTGTTTAGCTGTTTATGCTAAGCTAAGCTAATTGTAATATGTGTTCCAGACAGATTTGAGAGTGTCATCCATCTTCCCATCTAACTCTTGGCAAAAAAGCAAATAATCTTATTTCCCAAAATGCTGGACTATTTCTTCAAGATGAGTAAGTGTTCTCATGTGTTCTTAACTTTTCAGTAAGGATTTTCATCTATATGTAGACTATAGTTTTGTTTTGATGTGCTGTTTCACTATGTTGTGTCTCGGTGTAGAAAAGACAGTGTTTCACATTGGTTGGACAATAGAAGTTCTGCATAACAGGAAATACATAGATTCAACTAGAAGCTCTAATCATAGCTCTGTTGCACTTAGGCCCACTACCAGTGAACCAAGTTCCTCATAAAGCAGATCTGGAGAGAAATGTGATACTTCCCATTTGTGCGTTGTCATATGCATGCACTGACCTGGTCACCACCCATCCAGATCTATCGGTATGAAACAAAGTGCTGACAGGAACGCATCCAAACTCAGTGACAGTGCTCATGTACTTTGCTGCAGAAACAGAAGTGGATCACAAGGGAGATGAGGCAAGACAACCAGACAAGCAGGTTTGAGAACATAACATACAAGGGCAGTGATTAGAAAGAAGAATCACAGAGTCATGTGCTTCAAAACACCACATGACTTTGCCATTTTTCTGTCTAATTTCCTCTAGTTTCATCTTACTGTACCTTTCCCCTTTTTCATCTGCAGCTCGCCTGCCCAGGTGTTGACCAGGACTCCCTGTCCTGGACCAGAGGAGCTTCCCAACACAACCTGTCCCAGCAGGGAAGCATTCTGTGGGATCTCCAGCGGGTGGAAGTCTACACTCAGTGGCTTCTTGCAACATGTGCGGTTCCTGTAGTTAATCTTATACATAACACCCTGGAGGACAGGACAGCATTATATATTATGTCATTTATGTTGTACATAATAGTTCCTAATTTAGATATGATTGATTTGTTGTCATTACCTGTCTGTAGAGCAGAAGTACATCAAAGCGGAAGGTCTTGTTATTATAGGATCCAATCTCTCTGAGGTGGATGCGCTTTCCCAGTGCATCGTAGCTGTACCTGGCATAGGCCATCAGCTTCTCACTTTGGGTGGACTGGGAAAATGACAAAATGTACGTTATTTTTGTGTGAAGTTTCTCATTACATTACTCATAATTACACTTACTTTGAATAGTATATTGGCAGGACATTTGCTTTACACAGTTGCATAATCACTTGTATGAAGAGATCCAAACTTACCACAGAGAAGCTTCCAGTCATCAGGGGTGGGGATTCTGTTCAAATGAAATACGTCTTTTTATTGTTTGATAATAAATAAAACATTTACATCTCAACTGTGCTAAGCATGCAACATAACACTTCCTCATGAATGCAAAGGCAAAAATAGAACAGCATGATCAGTGTTTATCTCGGAGGTGAACTGCTAAGATTGAAAGAATCATTCAACTAGACAAACATATTAACTCAATATCTGTGGTGTTGTACTTACTGCATTTTTGTGGTCTCTGAGCTAGGCAGCCCGCTGAGAGGCACACAAGCAGGATGAGGACTCTCATGCTGTCCGATGGTAGATTTACTTTCGTCTGCACACAGAGGCAAATGTGCTGTCACTTCAGAGTGCTCGCTTCCTTATAAACAAACCAGTGAGGCTCCCAGCCTGCATCCACTGCCAGGTTTTCTGTGAGTCCTCAGTAGCTTATGCACTTGTCCTGTCAGAATAAAGCTAAAATGTTGTGGGTCTGAGTTTATGTAATATCATTTCCTCCTCTCTATGTAGCATATTCTGGCAGTACATAAAGGACAGGGAAGAGTTGAAAACAGTCATTCTCTTTGTGGAGCTCCGGGAAATGAGCTGCCACATCTGTTCTTCCCTTTTCCCTTTATTTGAATTCATTTACATGACCACAGATCAACACCATATCCATAAAATATGAAATGCTGCTCCTCTTGTTGTGTCTTGCTTTTTGTTTATTTATCGAATATACAGATTCATCACTGGACCGTAATTCAAGCAATATATATTATGAATTATGTACATATTGTGAACTCTTAAATTCCTGACATGCATCTCTTTTACCCTACTACAATGCTGTTTATTTTATGTTGTCATTACACTCAGAGACAAGATGAAATATATGCACTTGTTGAGTATTCTTAAAATACATTTTTATTGATAAAATCTATATTCACACCTCACCTCATATTCACATTTATAGTAACACCTCAAATCATCCATAAAGTGGGACTATGTATATGGTATGTAAGCAGAATTGGTACAAGCTGAAAATAAAACACTGACATATTATCTTGTTGATATGACATTATATATCACATATAAGCCAGTAAAAAAGAAGCGTGAGGAGGTGATTTTTCTTAAGATCATTTTATTTTTTATGTTATATTTATCTTATGGTTGATACTGGGGCAGGATCAGCAGAGGCAAAAAGAAAAACATTGACTGAAGAACAAAAAACTTTAAAAAGACAGTGATAAAGCACAGGCAAAAAACAAGTCAACCTTGGTCAGCCATTCAACAGATGAAACTGATCTTGAATTGCCCTTCTTCAGCCTAGACAGACATTTGATAAGGGGAATGCTGATAACTTACTATTACCAAGCAACCAAATCTGTTAGCTAGCACGATCAAACTCTTTATGACAAGAGGTGGTAGTATCACTACCGCTTTTGTCCACATGTCCAAATCGGCACAAAATGAAAGTTCCTTGTAGTTGCTTTAAAATCTCAAATAAAGACATTAGTTAAAGGAGGCCATCAGGGCTTGTTGAGGAACATGCTGAAGAAGTCTGCTGGCTCTTCTTCACTGTCAGCCTTCATCTCTGCATCTGGGCAAAAGCTTGGAGGGTTGAGCTTACTGGGGTCAGACATCCCAATGATGTTGTTGAAAAAGCTAGTGAACAGAAAGACAGAGGCATAAATGATTACTTTGTCAGATGCAAACATTTCAGATTTTCTGAAATCAGTGTCCCGCCTGTTCTTTATGCCCTATAGAGTGATTTATACCATGTTGCTGATAGTGTAAACTAACCTTATCACCATCCATCCAAACTGCTCCGTGTGATACATTGTGTTGATAGGAATGCATCCGAATTCAGTGACTGTGCTTGTGTACTTTCCTGTAGAGTCAGAGAAGAAAGTGAATAACCCGGCATGGATGAATCGAGTTCTAACCATTATCAGATTACATAGTAACCCTCTTAACCCTGACCATTACAAGTTCTCTAACCTCCTTTGTTGGGAAGATCTCCTGTCCAAGTGTTGACCAGGAGTCCTTGTCCAGGTCCAGATGAGCTGCCCACAACAGCCTGGCCCACCAGAGATGCATCCTTTGGGATTGCCAGAGGGTAGAAGTCTGACTTCAGAGGCTTTTTCTTGCATGTACGGTTATGTTCGTTGATCTCATACATGGTACCCTGATGGATGAAAGTAGTGGAATGAGGATGAGCGTTACTTATTGTGATTCATTTGACTTTTACGCCTGATGTTTATACTTGTATGTAAATGTATGTAAAAAGGTGAGGGGTTTTAAAACTTTTTAGTATAGCACGATTACTGAACAACAAGTTGATATTGAATATTAAAATGACTTAATTAAAACTCATGTTTCATGACTCTTTAAGCATTTCATTTCACATAAATACTTACACCTTGATTAACAATATATAAATTAACATTAATTGTTATACAAACCAAGACAGATAAATGCCATTTATTGTGTAATTTGTTCACAAGCTCCACTAACAATTTCTACTCCCATAACTTTGGGATGGACAGATAAAACAGACAAATAAAAGAAAGGCCTCACCCCCTCATTAAAAAACAAGAGATTAGACTCACCGCACCTTTTATTATTGGTCCATTACATTATATATGTGCTGTATTTCCTAGATCCCTTTTTATTGAGTGAGGAGCCCATGCTGAAGACAATTGCATTTTCTGAATCTGAATTTGTACTTCTCAGTCTTTGTTCATATAATAGAAATTGACTATAAACTTTGAATGTAATTATTTTGAAGCAGAGCTATGTGCCTCTACTTCAATAAAAAATATTTTCCTTGTACTTTTCACTTCTGATCAGGAGTGACTGCACTCTGAAATAAATATTTGGGATGTTCATTTGGTCACCTGTCTGAAGAGCATAAGGACGTCATAGGTGAACGTCTTATTCTCGTAGTTGCCGATCTCGATGAGCCGAACCCGCTGCTCCAGTGCATCATACAGGTACTGGGCGTAAGTCCACAGCTTCTCATTCTGTGTGGACTGGAAAAAGAGGTTGTGAGTGAGTTTACGTTTCCCTGTTTCAAATGATTGCAAATTTGCTTAGTAAATATGGTCAGGTGCTGCTTTATTGTGCTTATAGAAGACTATTCGAAACACTCACCACAGTGAGGGCCCCGCTCAAAAGAGGAGGACTTGCTGTGTTATGGAAGAAGATTTGAGAACGTTGCATTATTTTACAAAAGCGCACATTTGACACAGTAAAACAGCATTAAAGGGTTAGTGGTTTTTTTTTAAAGTAGGGTTGTATGAGGTACTTATCCATAGTACATAGACAGTAGTACCATCACAGAAGCTAAGCAATGTACTGCTGTGGGTGTGAACAGCAACAAAATGTATCAGTCACCTAAGAAAAGGCTCAAAATCAATATCAGCATAATTGTATGCAATATTTAGAATATTTTCATTTCTTTACCTTCTATTCTACATAAAGAGTACACTTAAAATTATATAGGTTTAGGTAGATAAAATATGTTTTGCTGCTACTCCCATCTGCAACAGTGCACCGCTCAGCTTCTGTGCCAACGACACCTGTCTGCTTCTTCAAACTAGGGGTGTGCTGACCCCTGTCTGCTGTAGGTAGGCTAATGCACTTACAATGGATAGTTACCTCATACAACCACACTTCAACGAAACCTGAACTACCCCTTTAAATAAGCCTGATCCCTGTGTACAACTATGCTTCAATATTGTGAAAGAATAAAATTACATAAGCAATGAGTGACAAATTCATTCCCACAACCACAATCAAAATCTCTTTTTCGTTATTTTACTTACAGCATGGGTGAGGTTTCTGGGCCAGGCAGCCTGCCAGTAAGCACGTTAATACCACTAAGAGTCTCATATTGGAGGATTCCACACTTCTGGTGTCAGCCAAAAACACACTGGTGCTTGACAGCAGTGTCACTCCTTTATAACTCCAGACACTGAGCCTCAAGGGAAACTCCTGCTGCCGGGTTTTATTTTTAACCCTCTAGGTGCCTCATTAGAGTCAACGAACAGCTTCTGTTATCTGGCTCACATCAAGATAGAAAACCTTGACAGCCAGTATCTCTTCCTACCTAACAACTGTTGTACTTTATGTACACTAAAGGCTGGTTAATGTTTTTAACACTTGTACTGAAGTTAGTGTGTATAACCATTAAGGATTTTTGTATCTATACATATTTTACTTACTTATACAGTACAGTCAGTGAAATTTGTTCTGAAAAGTAAACTTTTCATTAAGTGCATGTTATCGGTGTGACTATGTGGTCTGTGCACAGTGGGTGAGGGGTGAAGAATGTTGTTTGTGTTCACTAAAGATGGAGGCTTATAAACTCTGAACTGGATTTTGTCTGAAAGGAGAGGAGGATCACGTGCGCTAATGAATAGCTCCATGACTGACATCACAGTCATATGATGTGCAGGTGTGACTGCGGCCATCAGACCACCTGGTTATCACACAAATCTACAATGTCACTGGTTTCACAATAACCTGTAATTCAATACTTAAACTTCAAACGCTCTACAAAACTGCAAGTGGAACTTTGAAGTTTACACGTTTAAATCTAAAGAAGGGGTAAATGCCACATTATACTAAAAAAAAGCAGGTATCAAAACAACAGGTGCTCTTATAGATCCAAGGACATATCATGAGACCATGACCAATGAGTCATAACCAAATAACCATTACTAATCAGAGTAGCACTGGATAATTGGGTAGATTCTCAAAGGGCATCAATATCTTTAAGATTAGCAAATCCTTCACACACAACAAATAGCATCAGATATGCCATACGAACAGTCACAGCAAATACAATTACAGATATGGAACATAGTCCAGCTCTTTATAGCTGTTAAGCCCATTAATCAAATTAATCAAAGGCTTTTTAATTTTCGCAATGTAGTGTGCCTTGGTATTTTTCTGTTATGACTCATTGATCACAAGCACAAATATAACCTCTCCTCTTATTTGGTCTCATTTCATGTGGTTTGTATGTATGACAAGAGGACCTTATCGCTCTTTCATCAGTGTGTCAAACACTGACTGTGATAATATGGTCATTTGATTGTGACAGGTTTCATGGTTAAAAGAGCAGAACAATACTTTGTTATCAACAGTCAACAAATTGGTTGCACGACAGTTAAGTAAATATTGTAACATAACCTAAACATAACCTTTGATTCATAGAATTTGAAGCAAATCTTCTTTGTTGTATCGACCCGCACAGAATCAATCACAACCCCATAATTTTTTAATAAAGTTTTGTTAAATCAAGTTTATTTTCTATCTGCAGTTGAAAAAATTAATTAGAAATAAATAAAACTCAAAATTAAATTAAATTAAATTTGGATGTTAAATGGGCTACGGAACGCTGAGATCACATGATGATGATGGAACATTTTCTTCAGAAGTCTTTCACCTACACATTATTTGTCACAGTGTCAGGTGATTCCTGCACTGCCAATCCAGTCAGACTGCAATCCAGTCAAACGAAAAGAGAGAGTGATAGATCTCAAACACTTTATTTCAAAACAAAATGACGCACCAGTATTTTATTATATATATATATTGCAGCAGGAAACTCAAATGAAATTTCTTTCCTATTTTTAAACATCCTATAAAACTGGTTTATCATTAAGCTCATCCAGGCATCTGAAGTGAGTCTGAGTGTTACCTTTGCGGAGAAAGACAGAATTTAAGTTACACTCAAGTTTATGGTGTAAATATTTAGCATCACAGATACAATGTAGTTCAAATGTATTGTAATGTATTGTATGTTGATTTTATATTTTCTTACAGTCAGCATATCCAAAAGTTGACCCAGTTAACAAAAACTCCTACACTTTGCATATTTAAAAAGGTTTTTACCCTCATGATTAATAAACAAGAATGTTACTGACATGTTTACATAAGAGGAACCTGCCTTATGTAGCCCTGATGCAGTGTGTCTAAGGTTACCAGAATTAGCTGGAGAAAGAAAAAACACTTTTATATCAGTTGTAAAAAACATATGAAAAAGACTGAAAAAGATTGGTTGGAAGTGTAAGTGGGAGTATTTTGGTAAATCAGATTGCTAAAAATATATACACTTTTCACTCAATTTGAAATACAAACACTCAAAATTGGGATCTTCTCAAAGTTTCTGAGGCACAGCATGTGTCTGTCCGACAACTGGAGGTAGTTTGAGCAGCTGGCAAATGGCGTTGCACTCTGGTCCATGTTGCTCCTCCAGAAAGTACCGGAGGCCTCTGGCAGCAAAGTTGGAGGGGCCTCTGGGGGTCTTGGTGGAGTGAATCTGGGGGTCAGTGAGGTAGGTCAGCCCTTTGCCATTGGCTGTCACCCAGCCTGTATAAAAAAGGGGGAGAAACTCATATATGAAATGTTAATGCAGACCTATCCCATATGAAAAGACTTTGTGGAAAATCATGTAACTATTAGTGATTTCAGTACTCAGCGATACCTTGTAGGTCAACAACAACTTCATGACAGTCAGAGAACAGGTAAGTAAAGTGTCCAAAGGCAAGACCATATTCTGTAGCCTGTAAACTCATGTCCTTCTTTCCAGTGTTGTTGGTCAGTTTGACGAAGTCTCCGAGCATGTAGGGCTCCACTGTCACACAGCCCACAATCTCATTCCCATCCAAAATCTGTTTACAAGTACAGAAATCAGGAGGGAAATTACGAAATATGTAAAGCCCGTCTATGTACACAACTCATTACTATGGCTTCATAAATACAGTATTTCTGTGGTTTCATTTTTGTCTGTAATCCAAAGGCTTTATTATTATTACTACATTATGTTTCACTTCAGAAGAGGCCAAAATGGTAACTCCAGAACACAAGTTCTGTTTTTTGTTTTTTTGGTCAATTCATTCGGGACAATTAAGAGAATGCGCGCCACTAAGCTATTATTTATATTATAAATTCCCATTTTCCCTTTTAACAGCTCATTGTACATTCTAGACTAATAACCAACAACATTTTTGCACTACGACTGTCATGAGGGTATATTTCTAGCTGGGAACTAACAAATGGAGGGTGGACTGGGGTATTACATTTGAATTTCAACCAAAACTGCTCCAAGGCTGCTGCAGGCTATCCTGCACTCTGCTGTTTCCAAAGTTTTATATATATATATATATATATATATATATGTGTGTGTGTGTGTAAGTGGTCCTATTAAAGTTGTATTTATGGATGAAGTCATTTTAATTTTAATGCAGCATCTGCCATCTCTGCTTTCTTTGCATAATGTAAATTTGTATGCAATTATTTTATGTTTGGCAGGTTTATTTTTTCTTTATGATTTGGCCTCACCAACAGTGCTTCCGAGGGAATGAAGAAGATCTGAGCCATCACCTCCTTGTCGTAAAGGCTCTTATTGAATTTAGTCACGTAGTACTGGGCTGTCATCTGTCTCTCCACATCTTTCAAGTGAAACTGGATTTCCTTTGGCTTCAGGTAATCTTTCCCCACATAACTAGATGGATGTAAATACACAGACAAAGTGAGACTAAAAGTCATTATTTTCAGGTTGTGTCTGCTTTTGGAATAGCTGCATACCTGCTTAACCTCTCCTCCTGATGTAAAAACTGTACCCATATTGCAGTTCTCTGCTTTCCCTGCATTCCCATCGGCTCCCCAATGTAAACGCAGGTCTCCCTGGCTGTCCACAGTCCTGTGGCTTTGGAGAACTTTAAATGAAGCGCACCTAATAGAGATGACATTCAGAGATTAGCGAACAGTTGCAATCAGTGTTTTATTCACTCCTTAAAGTTAGTTTCGACACTGCCATCGTTAGAGTCACACTGCTACTGTGGCTAAAAAGATGTACTGATGATGAAGACACATTTCAACGACAATGGTGATTCAAACTTACTGTACGCGGTCCTGTGCTCCTTGAGTTTGAATTGCGTCTTGTCACTGTGCAATCTCTTCAGCAGACATTCATGGCAAACTCCAGACAATAGAGCTTGGTAATCCTGCTGTGACAACATAAACTGCCTCTCAGGGACAACACCGGCTACAGGGTTGTGCTTTAGGCAGCTGTAGCATAAGGGGTTCTTCGTTTGAGGGACATTCACTTTCTCTGTAGAAGTGACTTTACTACCTTGGTGTCCACTTTGGTTCTCCTCCAGCATCTCAAATGAACTCTCTGTGGAGGTTTCAGTGGAAACACACTGTTCTGGGATAAACTGGGAGAGGTTTGGGTGTGGGGTTGCTAAGGAGTTCTCGGTATCAGCTTCAGTGTCCATTTTTGGGCCAACGTTAAGGCTCTGCAGAGGTCGTGGTATGGACGAGGCTCCACTTTCCCATCCAGATGTGTGGTTTTTGTGTGTGGGATCATGAGCTGAATCACTGGTTTCCGAATCAAGTGTTTCCAAGAGGAAGAAGCTTCCATCGGACCCTGCTGACTTGCTGCTTTGGCTGGTTCCTGCTTCTGACAGGCAATTTGCCAGAGGTTTTCTGTTTGTGGGGGAGTTCAGGTCAGCTGAGATTTTTTCCCATGATGACTGGGAACTGAAACTGTCACTGAGGGAGCTGGAGGATGTTCTGAAATTAAGTTGGGATAAGGATTGTACTGCCCCCTCAGCTACTGATGGTTTCAGTGGCACACTGATATCAGGTATCCAGTCCTCCTCAGTGCCCAGTGTCTCTGTTGCAGCTTGTATCACTTCAAACTTCTCTGAATCACTACTTGCATTGGAGGAGGAAGTGGAAGGTATTGTGGATCTCTGGGCTGTATGGGAACTGACACCAGAGGTACAACCCTGTAAGTCTCGCTTCCTGTTTGTAGCGGATTGTAGCATGCTGTCTGACCTATCATCATCAACCTCAGTGGTCACACAGCTCTGGTTGCTTGCGTGTGCCTCACGTTCAACTGCAATACCTCCAGTGTAGCCGCTGCTGCTGGGCCTAGGAGACCCTGAACTACTCAAGGAGAAGTTCTGCCATGAAGAGCCAAGGTTATCTGTGCTTCCTAAAGTGGTACATAGGTCATTTTCTTGAGGCGGGTGGGCAGCAGATGAATTTGAACCTGTCTGTTCTGGCTTGTCTCCTTTAGGTGCATCTTTTGACACTCTGCAGGCCTCAGTGCTACATTCTGTGTTGAGTGTACCAATGGTTGTCCCCAGTGCAGTTATACAAAGCATTGCCGTATCTATATCGTCTTCTGTCCCCTTGCAGTTTATGTTACCTGTCTCACACAGTGATGCATGATACTTTTGGAATCTCTGCATAACCTTAGTGAAACCTTCCAGAGTGAAATTTACTGATGTGTCCTTGATGTTTCTGTAACTGTCAGGGATAAAAGAACCCTTGTCTGAATTAAGGAAAGGCTCCACTCGCAACAGAAGCTTGACTTGGCTGACCAGATTCATGATTTCAGCACAGAGACTGTCTTTGTCTTGGGTGTCTGAATCGTAATAATAGAAATTTGCCAACGCTTTTTGGCAAGCTTGGGTTGCCTGTGCCACAACCTCCTGAGGCGTGCCAAGCCATTTGTGAGTGACAGTGAGGGAATAGGCTGCCTTGAGGAAGGTGTGAAGCTCCTGCTTGCTGGTGACCAACTGGCCCTCTGCTTTGGTGAGCAGGCCGATTGTAAATGCCTCTCTAGCCTGCAGGAGGAAAGACTGCCTTTGTGAGGCAGGGCACTCCACTGAGAAACTATACGATAACAAGGAGATCCCTTGAGTTGCCTGAAAGAAAAGAGGTCAGAGTAAGGCAGAAGAATAATAAAGCTGCAATAAATAAAATGTATACCTCTTCAGAAGATACTTGTGTTGTACAAGCTATCTCATTTGCTATCCTGCCTCTGCTGTGAAAGTATAAGTTTATTCATTTATGTCTCTAGGAACCTCTGGGAGAGTTGAAAGGGAGGCACATGAAGCATGAACTTCAGTTTGCTTTAAACCTTGTACAAAGTTTGAGTCATAACTTATATCTGAACACATGATACACATATTTTTAGCTTTGGTGAGATTTACCCTTTCTAGGGGTTATCATTATTGTTATCTCTTTCCATTGGGAATAAACGTCTATAAATCTGTTTAGAAATAATAGAAAATGCTCCACATTTGTTCTTCAGTGTCAAAGTAATCTAGTGATGGTTGTCTGTAGACACTGCAAATAGCTAATTTTGCATATCTTTAATGGTGACAGTTTGCCAAAATGTAAACAAATAAAGGATAAAAAACCAGGGCTTATGTTGCAGCTCACTGCTAACAGACTCCATGGCAACATTAAAGTTCCTGTTCACTCCTTCCAAAGCAAAGAGGGGGGTGATGTGCAGTTGTCTCAATTGGGAGTGAGTGTGGGCCCACAGTGGCAGATTTTGAAAACCATGAGCTGTGGCAGAGAACCATCAATAGAACAACTTACCACATTGGTCAACACATAGAGTGAAGTGTACTGGCTATAAACCACAGCCATCTTAGCTGCCTGGGCTGCTGAAAGAAGACGATGGCCGCTGTCCCCAAGTAAAGACTGCTCAAAACAATCAGACAGACAGACAGACATGTTTTTATTGTTATTGTTTTTGTGTGGACCCCAGGAAGACCAGCGACCACTTTGTGGAAGCTAGTGGGGATTCAATTTAAGAATAAAGAATAAGAATATAAACTGTTTTTTACCAAATCAATATCTGGATTATTACTAAAAGCGTGGAAGTCCTCATCATTCATAGACACCAATATGTTAGCCAGTATGCCAAGAGAGGTTCCAATGCCCTATAAAATATACAGCCATGCAGAGCAAAGGTTTATGAGAGTGCATAAACTGGTATATGCATGTTTACAAGCTCACAATGTGGTAACCGCAATGGTGATATCTGGGTGGAATCTGGGTTACCTTTTTATCAGGTTGAGGAAGTGAGTAGTAACCAACCAGTGAAGCCCAGATTAACTCTGCAGCCTCCAGCCACAGCCCTGACACAGAGCACAAAATTAGAGCCTGAGCAATACATCTGTTAGCCAATATAGCAACAAAATAGTGGAGTAAACTATTTTCTGTTATTCAGGAAAAAGATCTTACCTAGCTTTTGCAAAATCATTCCACGCACTTGAACACTAACAGCCTGCACAAGAGCCCTGTCACTTTCAGAGTGGTACACCCAATAACCTGTAAGGGAAAGCCAGGATTTAGTTTTTAATTTAGCTTGTAAAAAACATGTTCATTACATAGCAAGGAACGTACCTGTGGCCCCGCTACTGTTAATGAGACTGCTCAGTATGTATTCTGCCTTCTGTAGTTTGCCTGTAGGGAAGATGATTATAATGTTCACAATAATCCCAACCGTAACAAAACAAACATCAAATATCTGTATAATGAAAATGATTAATGATGAGAATGGCAACGTAATGAAAGCCTTTTCACACGTAAACTCCACTGTAAGCTTGCATCAATCACTATTATCCCACAAAACAATGATTAGCATGATGTAAGACGTGTTACTCATCCTTCATATTTATTCAGTGCCAGTGGCTCTCCACAAAGCTATAATACAATGTAATAATAATGAATGTAATGAAGTATCATCACCAGTCCCATACACTCCAACCCACACTTCCACCACACCGTACCTGAGTTAAAGTAGACTCTGGCTTGTCTTATGACCAGCTGGGGGGCCACGGGGGTGTCACGGTGGCGTCTGTGGAGCAGCTTGGTGATCTTCAGGAGCCGGCTGGACTCGTCGGTCCAATAGAGGAAGCGGTCGACTAAGAAGACAACTGCCAGTGCTGTGCGTGCCTCCTGAGCCACGATGGATGCCTTTAGAACAGCCTGGCAACATGGAAAAGATATTTAGTAAATATATATAACACTACAAAGAAACCATTACTCAGCTGTGTGATTATTACCAGGAGTTGTGATAGATTCTTGCTGACGAGGTCATTGAGGTTGGTCTTGTCACTGGCACTGACTGACTGCTTATACTGCCACTTCTCTGGCACAAAGGGCCACTTCATGTCCATAGCCTCCTGCAGGAGAGAGGCCAGTTCTGCACAAAGCATGTCTACGGGGAAATAAGGGGAATTTAATAAATCCAACAAAAGTGTGTGGTAGTGCAAAGATTAAGTGGCCTAATAACGTTAAAACATCAAGGCTGAATAAAATGGGGGGGGAATGTTTGCATGGGGGGGAATAATGTTACTTAAAGCTACACTAGGAAACTTTCTACATTGTCAACTTCCTTCAGGAAAATCTAGACGGATTGCTGTTTAGAACTTCGTTTTGGTTCTTATCTAACCCTGTGTTACTGCCAGTAGGCAGCAAAGTGCTCTTATTTGACAACATAATTCCCAAATACTGAGAACAGATGCAGACTCACTTTATGACTTAGTTTTAGTAGCTTTGGAAAGTTTCCAGTATTTGGTTTCATAAAATTGCTTCAGTGTAATTTTAGAATTAATAGCAGGAAATAAATAAATAAAAAAAGACAGTATGGGGTTGTTTTTTTTTTTGGTGTTCCGAATCTGACTTCCTCCCATACCCAAATGAAAAGTGACCAAATAGCACCATCTTGTGTCTGACCTCTGCAGCTACAGTAGTTCAGCCTCTCTGCCTCAGAGGGCTGGGTGGACTGTTGAGCTGCCTGGAGACATTCCTCCAGTAAACCTCCCACCTCCTGGCTGTCCATTCTGTACACAGATGACTCAAAACGGGGAATCCCATGGATTGACCAGACTGCTGTTGAGAAAGGATTGCAACATCCAGGCTATTTGTAAATTTCAAAACAAGAGATTCAGTCAGTACATTAATAAAAAACTCAATCTCAAATACATTTTATTAAATAACATGACATGTCCTTTTTACGATTAAAATCCATATATATGCTGTAATTTATACTTATCATTTTATTGACAGTACACTTCTGCTGATGCCCCTGTTTCCCATGAAGCAATGCCCCAGCTAATGAAAAATTGATTTATAGACCGTTAAGAGTTATAGCTGTGTGCAAATGACATACATAGTGACATATAACTAATATCTAACATATAACTAATATTCTGCAGCACTTTTCAGACATATATAGCTACTATGTACAAAAATGTGTGAAAGCTCTTTTAGGTGTATGAGCATACTCAGGACAACTCAGTGAGCATAGAGCAAACACACAGTGTTATGTGTGGTTAGTGTGATGATGCTGTACAGGTGTTTTCACATTGTAAATGTTATACCAAACACAGAGTCATTGACCTAGAGACATAACTCAACAGGAGTGGAAGTTGTTGTTGTTAAGTAGACACATTCAAAACACTTCTTCTCGCTTGACCTCAACCGTACAACAGTGTCCCTTTTGCTTTAATGTGCGATTTATAGCACCTTATTTTCATACTCAGTAGTGAAACAGCACCTACCTTGTCTCCCCTGCTGTTTGTCTTCCTGGTAGGCAGTGCTATACGGTGCTGCCTTCAAAGGGTATCGGAAATATCGCAATTTCAACTTGAGACAGCTTGTTGAGAATCAAATGCATTCGTCATATTGGTCGGTTATTATACTACTATTATCTTATCATTATTAACTGAATAGGGGGATTTATTGATAGCAACCACTATAACTCGAACAATGTATGAACTTATTTAGAAGGTATTTTTTTTTGTTGTTCATGTAAACCAAGAGACAAAAGTGGTAACTATGCTGATTATATGATTATTTCTTCTTTTGCAAAGACAAATCAACAGTAATGTCACAGTCAAATATAGCCTACCATTAATTGTAAAGTAGGCTAAAAAGAAAAGAAACTTGTATTCTTGTAATACGGCAAAAACAGTAGCTATATGTTCAAGCATTAAAGTGTTAGTAACTTCAACTTTCACAAAGTTAACACGCGTTTCAGTGACAAGATGTGTGATTCTCAAACTGACCGTACTTTCCACACACGAGCAAAAAAAAAAAAAAAAACAAATCAGTGTTTTACTTTTTACCAAATGAACCACTCTAGTGTTGCTATGCTTAACTTAACATGACAAGACCCAATAAAATAAAGTAATACAAACTGGTGTATGTTTAGGATTGTCGCTCACTTAATCCCGCATGACCTGAATGCAACATGTGACGTTATGAAGGGGGCAGAACCCTTCCTTGTTGCAACAGGTAGACTCTGTTTATCCACAATAAAATGTACAATCTGTATGTAAAATGAAGAAAAGATGTATTCAGTGTGGACTCTTTGATGAACCTTAAACACCCATAAACCCCAGTGCATCGTATATTTTCTCTACCTGCCATGCAGTGTGATGGATGTGTATCAATTAATAAATGCATGAATCCCCCATTCTTCCACTGCAGCAAAATAAAGCTTCTGTGTCATCCTGCAGAAAAGCATTTAAAACTGTACATTTTTAGAAGTTCCTGAGAGGCATTTGAAGGCAGCACAATAACTGAAGTGGAGACATGTGTGAGACGATCGAGACATAGATAGATAGATTGACTGCACGCACTGATCTGGCAGAGCAGCCACCAGTGAGACAGATTGTTTTGGTGTGTAATGGTGCGCAGCAGCACGTGTACATGTGCTGTTGCTGTGATACTACCAATAGGCGGGACTGTGGCTCTGCAGCAGTGTGATTGTGAGCTGCACAGCTGGAACACGACCAGAGGGGCTGGCACGCGGTCCAGCTGCGGCCAGATGACTGAGATCAACTGCTTCTGCCACGACAACACCACATCCATAACTTGCTTCCGAGTGCGCCGCCAGAGGACTTGTGCGCATTGTAGGGTTAATGTGCCGTAAAGAAAGAAATACCCGCATAGCTCATTCAGCATCAACTCCGGAGAAGGAGCAGAGTGTATCTCTTCTGATGAGTTCTTGTGGGGTTCGATCATCGGCGGCGCCTTCTCTCCGCATGACCTGGTGCTCCCACTCCGAAGCCGAGCAGGCGTTTTGAGTTCGGTGGTGCTGGTGATGTAACGGTTTTCATCTCAGTGCTCACTCCACAACTGTTATCACTGCAGCCTCCTCTATCAGAGCATGGGACCCTTCAAACTCTAAAGGTAAGAAATGTGCCATAACTTGAATGTTAGTGCAGAGTACTGAAGCCACTGGAGCTCATTTGGACATTTTTACGCATGGTGGGATGTCTGTCTTTATCGACTGGTCAGGCACTTATATTAAGAAGACATGTTATGTTATGATATGTGTTTCCGTTCTATGGATCACTCTATGATCAGCTAGTTGTGGTATTTTATTGCAACAATAAATAAGATCAGGCGTGGACTTGTCTTGTTGCACCATCAACCACAGCAGTGTCAGAATATTTCACGTTGACTCATTGAGGTGTGATGAATACACTCATACTCATGTAGCTTACTTTGTGTTGAAAAAAGTGCTCACAGCTGTTGTGCTCAGACTTGAAGAAGATGAGGGTTGCATCCTACAGCTGTGAAATATCTACTAGATGAACTAATGGAATTACTGTATCTGGCCTGTGCACAGTAATGTTCAGGAAGAGCTGAGCATCAGTGAGCAGAGTAGAAGCGGATGGAGGAACGCCTGTTCCTAAAATTAGATTTTAGGGAGCGGCGGGGTCTTGACTGGCGTGAGAAGGATGGTAAACAAAAGTGTGCTGACGTGCAAAGTTATTGCTTGACCCATCTGGATGACCTGTTCCTTCAACCCTGATTCATCTTTTCACGGCTGATGGTTTGCTGAGGTATCCATCAAATGCCACTGACGCATACTTTCAAGGCCCCTGAGCAGCCCTGCTAATAACTAATGAACACCTCTGTGGTGATGAGAATTCTCCATGGTGAATAAACACTGGAGGCCACATCCCAGCTCATTGTGAGTCAGCCTTGGCTGCTGAATTAAACAAGCGAGAGGTCAGACTTACCTTGCCCACTTTATTTTTGTTCAGTCAGCCCCCTCATTACCTGTTCTCTGAGACAGGCTGCAGCTGTCTGACTGTGGTGATTCAAGGTGATTTTCTCCCGCCGCCCTCAGAGCAGCAGGGATTAGGAAGCATCTTTGAGCGTCGTGGCTTGCTGATTACTTCGCCCCTGCCTTATCCACCCATGTTTTTGGTGTCACAGCAGTGGGATTTGACTTGTAAGCTGCGACTGGCTGCCTCTCTGGATATTTGAAAGTCTTAGCAGCTGTAGTTCTGCAGCCCATCACATCCTCTTTGGAGGCAGAGAAGTCACTTCGGTGGCTTTCAGTGTGACTGGTTTGGCAAGAGCTTGATGTTGCTGATTAACTGTTCCTGTTTTGAATATCTGGACAAGCTTGCATTGTGTATGCCCTTGTTCGTCCAGATCAGCATCTGATTCAGAGAATGCAAATGAAGCAGTCATCAACATCAGCCATCATATGTGCAGTGTGTGCCCACACAGACAAATCTGCCACCAAAGCACAAATCAATAAAACAATTAGGCCAAAGTCCATTTTATCAGACCAAAGCTTATTTGATCCTCAGTTACCTCAAAGTAACCCATGGCCTTTGTGATCTTGTACCCAACAAGTGAAGTGGTGCTTGACTTGAAAGATATAGCGTTTTAAAAAGAAAGGATTCAAAGCACCTACAGTATGGTAGAAGAGATTAAAAAAAAGCCTCTGCATCTCTATTTCTCCTTTCTCTCTTCCGCTGCCGCAGTGCAATTACTTCAGGCCTCTGGAGCGGCCACCCTTGATATTTAGCATCACTTCTAGCCACCTCAACCTGCAGCAGTGTTGCACTTAACAGGAAAGCCAACCATAATTGGATGTATTGTACGGGGCTGCTGCTTTATGCTGAAGGACCAACAGCAACAAATGTGTGAGGAGGAGGAGAGGAAGGAATAAAACAAAGGCAGAACAGAGGGGAATAGTGAGGAAGAGGGAAATAAAACTCAATAATTATAGAGAGCAGCTCAGCCAGACACGTGTGCTGGATGTTCGCCATCATTGGGGTGTACGGTCCACTGCACTTTCTGCCTCTACCTTCCCGATCTCACTTTTCATTAGCTAATCCTCCACAGTCCCTCCGTGTACCTGTGCCAACCTTTCTCACTTCACCTGCTTGGTTGTATTCACACTAAGCACATTTGGAGTAATTCATTAAAACTGCAGAGTGTGTGTGAAAAGAGAATTTCAAGACGTGGAGTATCAGATCTGGTTTGACTCCCACTGACTTGGCAGGCCAACAGTGGCTATCACAACAAAAACATCCAATTGTGAGCGAATGTAACATCTCTCAATGCAAACAGGGTCACTTCTTATTCAGCGCAAACCTTTACAAACTCATTTCACCGTCATCCCTACTCTTTCTCTGTCTCTCCTGGGATGTTTCTGTTCCCTCGTCACCTCCCATGAAAGGGCACGGACCCTGTAAAATCTCAGTCTGTCATTGCACTCCTGCTCTCCTCACCTTTAAAGGCATGGCTGGGACGCAGAAGAGAGAGGCAGCAGCAGAGGAGTAGCTGGTGAGAGAAAGTGTCGGACCTGAAGAGCTATAAATCACGCTGTGGCTGGAATTAAATCAGTCAGGGTGAAACACAGTAGTGGATGAGCGTGGTGGGAAGGCGGATCGAAACTCACTGTCTGCTGTATCTTAGCTAGTGAAGTGATTACTAAAGGCAGTGAATTAGCAGTGATGGTGATTGCATGGGTGTGATTAATTAAGGTTTCAGCCGACTGGCATCCTTCTGTGCTACAGATGTTAGGCGTGCCTCACTTTCAGTATTATGCCTCTGGTATCCTGCACCTGCAGTCAAAAAAAGTGCATTCATTTGTTTTCATACTCAGTCTGTTTGCCGTTTGTAATCTGTCAAGCGCTTCACTAAATGCACAAAATGAATTGTGTATTTTGACTACAGGAAATTGTGGGGGTTTTGTGGTCTGCTCAGGGATGCGAGCAGTTTTAGGGAGGAATACATAAACAGGAACTAGCCAGAGCTAACGGTGAGCCTGCGGGGATAATGAAGAGGCTGGCTAGATGAATGTGAAACTCCTGGCATTCACACATGACATGAAACTAGTTCAGAATGACTATTGTATGAAGCCACTGTATTGCTCAGTGAGCGCAACCCTAACAGGCAGGAGGGAGAGAAGCACATAAACACTGAAGAACAAACTGGTCTCCAGATGTACAATATGTGCCCTGTTCTGCACACCACACATTTCTTAGAAAACCTGCAGTAGTGAAAATGAATTCAGCATCACTTGGTGTCTGAGCCTTACCTCTGTGTTTCTGCACAAAATTAAGCTCAACTTTAAAGGAATAGTTAAACATTTTGGGCAACCAGTGGAGAGTTCAAGAAGTTACTGGTCTTAATCATGTTTTTAACATTAGATTTTTGTACCGATTAAACACACAAGATATAGCATCTTGACTGGTGAGCTTTAGAGGTGCTGGTAGGCATATTCTCTTGCATTTGGACTGAGCCTAGCCAACTGTTTCCCCTCATTTCCAGTCTTTATTCTAAGGTAACTTTACAGGTGGAAACAGCTAGCCAAGCTTACCTTTAAGGATAAGGAAACATGAAAAAGAAAAATACATGATATGTATCAATCATCTCATCTAACTTAAGTGCAAACATATTTCCCAAAATGTCGAACTATTACTTTTATTTGTGGATATAGAAATCGTCAAGCCATTTATCAGATTTTGCTCAAATCTGCTAAATGCATTATTCTTGCAAAGACGAATATTTCTGTGGTTAATGTAATGTCATTACGTGGAATTTGTTAACCCAGAAGAAACACTCAGTAACAACAGGAAGTGAGGCTCCTGATGTCAGTACTGCAGAAAAGCAGAAAATGAATGCTGACCTCGGTATGCTCTGTATAAGTGAACTGGGTGTTCACTGTGTGAGACAAACTCTAATGTTCTGTTGCAAAAGATGATTTGTCACATCGGCTCTTTTACACAATACACCATGTGGTCTCATCTTTCACTCATCACACAGCAAGAGCTTGACAAGGAAGTGTGTGTGTCAGGGAGATAACTGACAGGGTAAGGGAAAAAAAGAGAGAAACATTTTCAAAGAGTAATGAGTATTCATCACATAAACTCAAACCCGCTGCATACTTATGAGATTGTGTTTAACAAGGTTTTTTTTAAAAAGTGTGGACACGCACATATACTCAACACATTTCACACACACATACCAACACACCCTTCCGGTATTTGTTATGAAGCAAACTTTCACATCTGGTAAAAAGGACAAGAAGTTTGAGCAGGAAGTCCCAAAACAAAGCAGTAAAAACAATCTGTAACAGTGATACATGGTTGTGTTTGGAGGCACATATTAGAACAGCGCACTTTCTGTTTGACACACATTACACTTTTCAATTGAAGTCAGAAAGTTGAGATGTGAGAGTGTGCCAGATGTGGAACAGGATGCGTGACTTTTTTCACTTCGGGGCATGTTATAAAACATTACACTCTGCCAGCTGCAATGTCCCAACAAGACATTGTGAAATCTACATATTTTTCTCCCTGACTTTCTTTTTGTTATTTCAAGATTATGAAAAAGTCCTGTTTGCCTTATATAGTATCAGTTTCCATTTGCTTTTGAGACAGATTCAAGCTCCATTTTTTCTTTTTCTTGTGTTTTCCATCATAACTCTCCCTCCCTATTTGATCTTTTCCCCTCTTTAGCCAACAATCGCTTTCCATGTTTGACTGGGCTGAAACTAGGTGGTGTACACTCTCTTCCTGCCTCCCGGTCACCCTCTTTATCTCCCATTCTCCCATTCCCCCTCTCCTCCCTCCCTAAGGAACAACTGTAGCTGCTAATCTCAGTTTGCAGCCGGTGCCCCCCACCGATGTGGCATTCTGCGTGTCCAGGGAAAAGGAAATGTTTCCCTTCCTGCTCTCAGTACCATGCAGTCTGTAAATAGAGCCTGCCACCAGCCGCTCAGTAGGCCCCTCTGAAGAACTATATCTGTCCCTTCATGCGACACCCTTGCTGCAACTTCCCGAAACAAACTAGGCGGTGTTGGGCAGGAGATAAGGGTGGTGTGTATTATATGAAGAAGTGGTGTGTGTATGTGTTTTTGCAGGCTTGTAATT